GCATGTGTTGTGAGCTTGATCCCCATTAGGGGGGCATGCAGGAGGCAGCTGATCAATGATTCTCTCTCATCATTGATGTTTCTCTCTCTCTCTCTTTCTCTCTCTCTCTCTTTCTCTCTCTCTCTCTCTCTCTCTTCCTCTGTGAAATCAATAAAAATATTTTTAAAATAATAAAAAGAAAAGTTTGATTGCCTGTCCAAATTTGTCTCAAGATGATCCCTTGGGATTTTTGTCTTTATTCTACCTTATCTCATTGTTTTGAGCATCCAGAGTTTTTAAGAGGATGCTTATATAGTAAGCTACACTGGAAACCTTCTCTGACTTCTCTTGGTATCACCCAAGTCAAATGTCAGATCTGAAAGGAAACTAAGAAAGCGTGAACTTAGTTCAATACTCTCATCTTACAGGTCAGGAAACACAGGCCCATATAAGCTGAATAACAATGCCACACTTCAGTGACAAAAATAGGAATGAGAACCTAAGTACTCTAATTCTTAATATTGATTTCTTTATAAGACACATCTAACTTCATTACTAACTAAGCAAAAAAAATGCTGGCAGGATGGCCCAGGCTGGCCCACAGTGTGTTTCAGACCCTAAGACAGGACTAGATTAAGTATTAGCACATGTCATTCAGGCATGGCCAGTGGCCAATAGCATGACTACAGGCTCTTGAGATGCTTATAGGGCTGCAACAGATAGATTGGTACAGGAAGTAAAAAGACCTGATACGTCTGACAAAAGGTCATAATTTTAATGTTTAATTCCTTTTTTCTTTTAGAGATCAACTTTTAGGATGAAAATTATTTCCCTTCAAAATGTGGGAGACATTGATCTGCTGTGTTTGGCAATCCTGCATTGCTTCTGAGAAGTCTGATTCATCCTGATTTCTAGTTCTTTGACTTTTTGCCTCGGAATATTCCTCAGAGCTTCTGAAATCTCAGGATGCGCCTGGGTGTGGGTCTTTCATCCATTGTGCTAGATAGTTTGGGTTCCCCTTTCAATCTTGAAAGTATATTCTTCAGTTAATGGAAATTCTTTTCCTTTGATAATTTTCTCAATCTGATTATATCTATACCTTCTGGAATTTCTCTTGAGATTGAGTGTTTTCTTTTCTCATACTCCCTATTTATGTTTTTAAATGTAGGCTTACTTTATATTCTTCAAATCTTTTATTGATTATTAAGTTGTTATTATTATATATTTTTTTAATTGTAAGAGCTCTTTCTCATCTCTTTTATTGCTTCATGTTAATAGCACTGTGCTCTTGTTTCACAGATGCAATATTGTCTTTCTTCTCTCTGAGGAAATTAATTATGGTTCCACTGAAGTTTTCTTCTGCCCTCTGTCTTATAACTGATTCTCCAAGTTCCTTTTCATTTCACATCTAGTGACTGTTGGCTATTCATTCGTGTGTGGAGACACCGAGAAGCATGTCGAGTCAGGCTTAATGATCTATAGGCTTCATTGCAGGGTAATTGCAGTAGCCAGCAGTGTCATTGGAGGATGCTGAAATTTCAATCTCTGTAGGTCTTTTTTCTTTGGTCAATTTCCTGTAAGAGAATTTTTTTTAAGACTCCTGTCTGGTTTCATGCATTCTGGGAAGGGGCTGAAGAGGGGGAAGGGGATCTCTCTTGCTCAGAATACAGGCTCTCACTTAATTCCATTGTTCTCCAGTTCAGCACTCACTCATGTACCTAATGTTCCTGAGCATAGATCTTTTATGATTTAATCTCAGCAGAGAGCAAAATGGAAGAGGTTCAGCTAGCAGGGAGGAGGCTAGGGAAGGGAAGGGAAGCAGGGAGTCTCCTGGTATCATGGACTCAGAGAAGGGATGGGAAGGTGGTTGTCTAAGATCTCTAATGCCTCCGATCTGATCCCCATGCTTGTTATTGGCAACCTCTCCAAAGGCAGTTTTGACACAGTCTTTCCCCTCTGCTTAGTCAACTACACTCTTCCAAGTGCTTTCCATCATTCCAAGTGTTAACATCTCATCTGCCTCACCTCTTCACTTATTCTTTCTGCTTTGTGGATTTATACCTCTAAAAAGTCCCTTTCCTCTTATTTTAGTTTGATTTGTGAGGAAGCAGAGATAAAAGCAAGTACTTAATTAGTCCATTTGGACTGGCAGCGCTGGGCCTCAACTTTCTTACCTCTAAAATGAGAGACGTAGAAGCATACCATTTCTAAGGTTCTATGAATCTCAAATTCTATGAACTCATGACTGTAAACAAGTGCTATATTGTGTAGGACTGATTCTAAGAATTGTCAGAATTCAAACAATATGAAAACTACTGGAGCCTGAATCATTAGGAGAAGTTTCATCTTAAAGGTGGGGACTGGAACATCATGTGTGTGTGTTGAATAAATGGAGCGAAGAGTAAGGGAATAGCGTGAGTGGATACAGAGAAATAGCTATGACTGCTTTGGGAAAAGAACAGTTTGGGAAGTACCAAGAAACAGAGTTAGCTATTCACTAGGTAGACATTTAGAACTTGCTGTAGAGGGCTCTCAAAGGCTGAATTTAAACTTACCTGCAGTAGGAAATGTCACTTTTCAAACATAATATATTGTTAGTACCAAATAGTATTTCTTTTCATCTCATAACTTTTGCACAGTTTATGTTCACATCATTTCTTCTTATAGTGAATGGAAAGAAATGCCTTCTTTTTTCTCTTTCAAAGAAATACTTTTTAATATATTTTATTGATTTCAGAGAGGAAAGGAGAGGGAAAGAGAGCTAGAAATATCAGTGATGAGAATCATTGATTGGCTGCCTCTTGCATGCCCACAACCTGGGCATGTGCTCTTGACTGGAATGGAACCCAGGACCTTTCAGTCCATAGGCTGATGCTCTATCCATTGAGCCAAACTGGCTAGGGCTAAAGAAACACTTTTTTAAAAGGTTAACTAAAGGCTCAGTACATGAATTTGACCATGAGTGGGGTCCAGCCAATCTGGCCCCAATTGTGTCAGATTGGGGCTAGGCCTATCAGGAGGAGGAGATGGCAGGAGGTTGGCTGGCCAGCCCACCCTGATCAGGGTCCAGCTGACTGTGGGGAGGGGCCACAGGTGATTGGCTGGTAGAGCCCACCTCCGTTTGGGGTCAGGGGGCCGATGGGAGGGTTAGTGGCTGAGGGAGGGTCCATGGGAGGTTGGAAAGCCAGCCCCACCCCCAGTTAGTGTTCGGAGAGGTGATGGGGACAAAACTGGCTGTGGGGAGAGGCAGTGGGCCAATCAGGGTGGTGGGGGCCCATAAGGCGTGGGGCTGGCCTGGGGAGGGGATGCAGGCAGTTGGCAGGTCAGCCCTACCCCTGATCAGTGTAGGGAGGCCCATCAGTGTGGGACCTGCAGGGAGAAGGGTCGAGGGAGGTTGGTCGGCAGGCTCCACCCCCAGATTGGGCTGATTCACTGTCCACAGTGGGTGTCATAATGACTGGTCATTCTGGTTGGTCTGGTTGTTCTAGTGTTCTGGTTGCTGGAGATTATATATATATATATAATAGAGGCCCGATGTACGAAATTCATGCATGGGGAGGGTGTCCCTCAGCCGGCCTGCATCCTCTCCAATCTGGAACCCCTCAAAGGATGTCCTACTGCCAGTTTACAGGGATTGGGCCTAAACTAGCAGTCGGACATCCTTCGCATAATCCAGGACTGCTGGCTCCTAACCGCTTACCTGCCTGCCTGATTGCCCCTAACCACTCTGCCTGCCAGCCTGCTCACCCCCAACTGACCCCCCTCTGGCCTGCTCGCCCCACATTCCCTCCCCACTGGTGTTCTTGCCTCCAACTGCCCCCCTGAAGCCTGCTCACTCCAAAATGCCCCCTTCTGCTATCCTGATCACCTTCAACTGACCCCCACTTATGTACTGTTCATCCCCAACTGGCCCCCCTGCTGGTCTGCTTACCCCCTATGGCCCTGTCTCCCACCATCCTGATCACTCACAACTGCCATCCTATCCTGGCCTGATCACCCACAACTGCCCTTCCCTTTTGGCCTCTAAACTGTCTCTACCTTGGCCCCACCACCATGGCTTTGTCCAGAAGGTCTCCTGGAAGGTCTCTCAGTCTAATTAGCATATTACCCTTTTATTAGTATAAATAGAGGCCTGGTGCACTGGTGGGTGTTGGCTGGTTTGCCCTGAAGGGTGTCCCAGATCAGGGTGGGGGTTCCCTTGGAATGTGGGGAGGCCTGAGCAAGGGGCCTGTGGTGGTTTTTAGGCTGTGTTTTTAGGCTGTGTTTCACCCTTGGGGTGAAGGTCCCTGCTGGGGTGCCTGGCCATCCTGGGTGAGAAACTGATCACTGTTTACAGGTTGGCTAAGCCCCCCTGCAGGGACCCTCACCCCATAGGGGTGTTGCCAGCCTAGTTGAGGGACTGAGGGCTGTTTTCAGGCTGGCCGCACCCCTTTCAGGGTGAGGGTCCCCACTGGGGTGGTTTGCCATCCTGGCTGATGGCTATTTGCAGGTTGGCCACTCCCCCTGGTGACCCAAGCTCCTGGCCTCTCCTGTTTTTCTTTTTCTTTCTCTTTCTTTCTTTTTTTTTTTTTCCGGCCTCCTTGAGTAGAGGCCAGGGCAGCTGGTATCTGGGATTTATTTATCTTTTATAATTTTATAATTGAAGCCTTGAGTGGAGGCCAGGGCAGGCTGGAAGGAAGTATCTGAGATTTATTTATCTTCTATAATTGAAACTTTGTAGCCTTGAGTGGAGGCTAGGACGGGCCAAGACAGGTGGGAAGCTTGGCTTCCTCCATCACTGGGGGCAACCCAAGCCTCCTGCTTACTTTAGTTGCGTGGTACTGCCATATTTGTTGGGTTAATTTGCATACTTGCTCCTGATTGGCTGGTGGGCATGGCTGGTGGGTGTAGGGGAAGTAGGTCAATATGCATGTTTCTTTTTTAATAGTGTAGATGATATTATGTTGAGAAGTGCTGCCACATTTCTTGAGGCAGAGGGTGATTTTGATGTCACGTTTTATATAATTTTAATTTTCTTACAGGTTTTATTGTTGTATGCATATAACATGAAGCCCCTGAAGATTGTAGATGTTAGCAACATCAGTTACAACAGTGCCTTTGTTGGTTCCTTCTGGGTTTCCCTGCAAAGGCGAGTATAGATTGATTATCCATAATCTGCTTTCACTGTGGATCTTGTCATAAGAACAGGCTGTTTCAGTAATATACAAGGTAACCCACAGGAGAACTTTTTGAAGATATATTTAAAAAAACACACAATCTTTCTTTTACCTATTCTGCCTACTCTTTAGGGTTATTGCTAGGAGTATGATTTTGAGGTGGTCAAAAGCACAGATTCTGAATCCAGCCTTCTTTGGTCCAAATGCCAGTTGTGCCCCTTACTACCTTTTCAACCTTGAGCAGGTTACTTAACCTGCCAATGCCTCAGTCTCCTCTTCAGTAAAATGGGAATGGAATAATAAGAATAGTACTTAGGGTTATTAGTGGAACTGTTCCTGACCCTTTAGGAAGTTTATAGGGAGTACATGATATTGTCTATACTATGTTTTGCCCAATATTTGTGGTGTGTTTAAAAACTAACTTAATGTAGCTCTGTGTTGGATTGCAAAATTAAGCCCAGACTCCACCACATCACTTGTCTTACCTTTTCCTCTTTACCTATTTTATATTGTTCTTTAGTTAATACTCTCTGATTCAGCTCATATCTAGTTTCTCTCTTTCCTCATCCCACATTACCAAACTCCTTGTTTGTTTCTTACTCTTTTCATCACCTAGTTAATTTAGTTTTGATTCTGCTGCCCTATGACCCCAGCCTCCATTTCCTTGCTTTTAAGATGTCAAGAATACCTATTTTGCCTACCTCTCAGGGTTATTGCTGAGAATCAAGCCAGGCAATGCTTTGAAAGCACCTACTTTACAAGGTCAAGTCTCATTACTAACTCTGTCAGTGTCAGCTCAGTCCCTGCTAGGCACTTAGTAGGTGCTTTGGGAACACAGACTTGGTACTTCTCTGGAGAGCCTTGTCCATACTCTGTGATTTTCATTTCAAAGGACTGTTGGGTATCAGCATAAAAGAGAATAAAACAAGCGATATTTAAAGAGCTGGCATAGTCTTAATTATTGTGCAAATTTTTAAATGAAATGGCAGAAGACCTTGACATGGTACACATGATAGCAAAGCTAGGCAACAAAACTAGGAGGTTAGGTACTTGCCTTTTACATCCAGAAACACAGCAGGATTTTTTTTTTTCAGAACCACATGACAGAAATAATTACAATTTCTGCAAGGTAATCAAACTGACAGGATTCTTTTTTATCCCAAAATGTTCTTCATTTCGTGTGTTCGTGATCAATAGTAGGGTTACTAAAGTTAGGGACATGCCCTTGTCACTGAGGCCTTCCCAGGGGAGGGTAGCTGACAACCTCTCATCTGACCTGTGTCTCTTTTCTCGTGTTTCTTGAATGAAGGAATACTTGAGTGAATTAGGTTTAGGGATACCAGAAACGAAGTGTTAAATAACGGAGGAGTTCCTTTACACATATGATTAATTCTGGCAATAAATGAATGCCTTTCACAGCTTTTCAAATAAAATACACCTATGTTTGTTATTTTTAGTGTCATTACAATTCATGAGAAACTATCAAATCTTATGCAAATCGCTGAGATCTCGTTGCCAGCAGTTCCTGAAGTTTCTCAAGATGAAAACGTATCTGAAGCACAGGAAATAGAAGTGAAATGGATTGATTCAGAGCTGGAAGTAAGTGATTAAGTAATCGAAAACTTTTCTACTGCAGAATGGATGTCCTTATGCATAATTCCTCAAATTATTTTTTACTTCATTGGAGCAGACTTACGTAACTCTACTTGAGCCTTATGGTGGTTCTGCCCTCTTTTTTCTCTACATAAAGTACCAGGTATGACCCAAGTTTTGGATGCATAAGTAGTGTTTCCTTCAAAGTTCTTCTAAGCACACTTTTTATAAGAATCTTACGGTCGATGGAAACACAACCAATCTAGACATATCATTCAGGTATAGCTGTGAATCTAAAGAAACAATGCTCTGCAACTTCATAACATGACTCGTCATTTCTCACTCTAAGTCTGTGAGCATGTTGATTACCCAAGTAATGTGTGAAGGAAAACTAGAAAATACAGAAAAGCATATATCTTTCAGACTTTTTCAATGCATATATTTTCCTAATTAAAAAAGATATTATCCTGCCCAGCCAATGGTTCAGTTAGTTAGAGCATTGTTCTGTACACCGACAAAAGCTGTGGGTTCGACTCCCAGTCAGGGCACATACCTAGGTTGCAGGTTTGATTCCCAGTCGGGGCACTTCAGGAGGCAACCGATCAGTGTTTCTCTCTCACATCAGTGCTTCTCTTTCCTGCTCTTTTCCTTCCTCATACTTTAAAATAATTTTAAAAAATCCTGCAGTGAGTATTTAAAAAATTAGACATTATCCTTACAGTGTGTTATTAATATGATCACAGAGTTTATACTGTTGAGTGGTTTTCTTTAAAAAACATTTATTGTTGAAAGTATTACATATGTCCTCTTTTCCCCCATTGACCCGTTCTAGCATGACCCCCGGCGGCCCCACCTCATCCTTCTCCCCTGTCCCAGGCCTTCACCGTTCTATTGTCTGTGCCCATAGGTTATGCATATATGCATACAAGTTCTTTGGTTGATCTCTGTCCACCCTCTCACCCTCCCTTGCCTTCCCTCTGTTCCCCTGGATCTATTTTGCTCAACAATTTATTTTGTTCATTTGATTCCACATATGCATGAGATCATGTAATACTTGTTTTTCTCTCACTTGAGTGGTTTTTATGATCACTAATGTGTTCTGGTGCACTCTAAACAGGAATTGGATATATGGAGATCAAAATGTCAGCATCATTATTGCCCCCACTCTCCTTCTGCCCCTGCCAGTCTTCCTGCACCAAGGAGCAGAGGATAGGAGTCCTGCAGGCAGGGTATCTCAAAAAATATAAACTCACATGATCCAGAAGGGGCTGAGTTTAGCATGCCCTGTTGCTTTTCTCAAACCAGTCAGATAAGAATCAGTGATGGGTCCAAAAGCAGCTGGAAGCAGCCTCCTCCTTCAGGAATGGAGTGGAAATTCCTCACCTCTTATGGAAATAGAGGAGCAGGGAATGCTGTTCTTTCCTAATTACTTGCTCTGTAAATTTCCATTTTGTACATTAATCCAATTTCTTGAGATATATATATTCTGTAGTTACTGTGGTAATTTTTAAAAAATATCCAATGGCGGTACAACATTTACAATGAAGAAAAAAAAAAGCAGTCTTCTGTCCAACTTTATGGACTGGATTCCAGCCCATTGGGTCCCATCTCTGTTTATTTTCCTCAGAAAGATCTTTTAGGATCTTCCCTAACTTTTAGTCAGCTATATCATTTTTCTTAAATCACTTTCTGCTAGATTAATATTCAATTGGTTACAAAACATTTTTAATTCTTAAAGATACAGACTGGTGCAGCCACTATGAAAGACAGTATGGCCTTTCTTCAAAAAGTTAAAAATGGAACTCCCATTTGACCCAGTAATTCCACTTCTAGGACTATATCCCAAGAAACCAGAAACACCAATCAGAAAGGATATATGCACCCCTATGTTCATAGCAGCACAATCTATAATAGCTAAGATTTGGAAACAACCTAAGTGCCCATCAGCAGATGAGTGGATTAAAAAAACTGTGGTACATCTACACAATGGAATATTATGCCACTATAAAAAATAAGGAACTTTTACCTTTGCAACAGCATGGATGGACCTGGAGAGCATTATGCTAACCGAAATAAGCCAGTGGGAGAAAGCTAAATATCACATGATCTCACCCATATGTGGGATATAATGTGACATTTGATGAACATAATTTGATGAACAAGAATAGATCCAGAGACAAATGGCAGGGAAGGGGGTGGTTAGAGAGCAACCAAAGGACTTGTATGTATGCATATTAGCATCACCAATGGACACAGACACTGGGGCAGTGGGGGCGTTCCCAGGGAGGGAATGGCTGTGGGGGGTGTTAATTGGGGAAAAAGGAGACATATGTAAAACCTTAGACAATAAATATATAAATAAGAATAGGATGTATATGGCTATTTTTGTTTTCCTCATCCATTCACTCCTTATGAGAAAGTGTAAATGTTGGCAATTCTCCTGATTTTCAGACTATAGTTGGTATTTTTTATTATAGTGAAAGCAATACGCCTAGTTGTAAGAGAATACATCAGGCAAGAACTGTTAGCCTTTGCAAAATGCATCTTTCCAGAATTTAAGTCTTCTGTGTTCTGTGCTTCTACTTATCATAGAAACTAGAGTGTCTCTCAGCCCAGCCTGCACTCTCTTGCAGTCTGGGACCCCTTGCTCCTTCCTGCCCGCTTGCTCACTGCTCCTTACTGCTTGGCTTGCTTTTCCTTAGTGCTGCTGCGGAGACAGAGAGGCTCCTGCCACCTCTGTTGCCCTTCCGCTCCATAAGCCCGGCTTCTGGCTGAGTAGCGCTCCTGCTGTGGGAGCAGACTGACCACCAGGGGGCAGCTCCTGCATTGAGCATCTTCCCCCTGGTGGTCAGTGTGCATCATAGCGACCAGTCTTTCTGGTGGTTCCACTGTAATGGTCCTTAGGCTTTTATTATATAGATGATGCCTTAGACTTTTAGTTATACATCCTTACCAGGGCCCTCAACTGTTACAACAAGAGTTACCAGGCATTTAATGATACTACTGAAATAGTGTGTACCGATGAATCTCCCAGTGGATCAGCCATCTCAAACTCATGAGGTTTCACTTATATATAATTCTTATCCTAAATCATATGGTTGCCCTTTCACGACTGTTTTGGAGAGAAATGTGTCTCTCATTTCATTTCTACACTTCCTTTGCAGATCACTTACAATCACAGCCTTTCAGTCATAGCCAAACTCAGCAGGTTGCTGTCTCTGATCCATGGTTGAGAATATTCTTTGTTTAAATCATCCTTGAATCATTTCTTTTATAGATTACATATGGAAAATGATAATTTTTCTCTGTGCCCATTTCTTTCTTTGGCTTAGATTGTTTAAGACAAGAGAATGAGCATCCAGAGAAGTAATAGTTTTAGGTTGTGCTCTTCCTAAAGCTACAGGATTCAAGTCTTTTCCGAGAACTAATTTTTCCCTCCTTCCTAAAAATGATCCTTTCACTCAAGTATTGCTCTGAGATGGAGAGATGAGCCCCTAGGTTGGTGTGAAAGTCAGCAGAATTTCCCTGGGGATCACATGTATGTATCAAATTGACCACAGTGAGCCCAGTATCTGATATAAGAGGTTGGCTATACATATAAAGAAATTAGGAATAAATGAGAGGGGGAGCAAGGGAGCATTTGAATATAGGCAGAGAGAGAACCAGAGGGCCTAGTTTGCCTTAACCAAGGTTTGGGGTTTGCTTTCATGTCCTGACTTAAATGTTTTTGTGAGTGGGTCAGTCCTTGAGGAGCACAAACTCCTTTCATCCTGATGTTATCCTCTATATTTTTTAATTTGTTCTATTACCCAACTTAGAGCTTCTTCAGCTTTAAGTGAGGCATTTTTAGATGTGTTTTAGTTCTGTAAATTCTTTATAAGACAATGTCATTCAATGGAAGAAAACTAATATTTGTTTAGGTGAATTGGCAAATTAGTTCATAACATTTGAAAGTTGAGAAATGAAAGGAACATAGAAAGTTTTCTTTTTTCCCAGAATACTAACCAGCATGTAAAGGGCGGGGGGGAGGGAGGGGAAGCAGCTAAATTCTATAGGGTAATATCAGATAAATCCCACTGACTAAATCTGCCAGTTTGTTGTCATGACAACCTTCACTGGGAGCTAATTAGAAGTTAACTCGGGCACTTGAAGAGATCAATTCTGATGGAGAATTGGACAGTATTTTATAGCCTCTATAATCTAATATATTTATATATATCACAATATAAATTTTTGGTCGGTTATTAAATATAATGGTCTAAAAATGTGTTTTTTATTGATATGGGGAATAGTAAATCTTGTTCTCTTTCTCATTCCCTTCGTTTTTTTTATTTTTTTTATTTTCTCCCCAAATCCCTGTGGTCTGGAAGAAGCCAAAAACTTCAGAAAACAGACTGTAATTTAAGATGTATCTGGAGGGCTACAGAACAGGTGTTCCAGACACTTCTGGCTTGAAAGTCTTGTATGTCCTTCTTCACAAATGAACACCAGCTTGGAATGACTGAGTTATTTTAACCTATCATTCACAGTTTTAGGGATATCTTCAAAGTTCATCAGGTACTTGAAAGCATATGAAAGATGCTAACCATCCTGGTTTTAAGACAAAAACTCCCTTTTGGAGTGATAGCATACTGATAATGACAATCTTAAACTATGTTTACCAAGTCATTCAAGGTAAGTTCAGCAGACATGTCCAGAATGACTACATTGAACAAGCCAATTAGAATTCGTGTGTTGTCAGATTATCCCAAATAGCAAAGTAAACTCTGAAAATACAGAACAAAATAAAATTGGACATTAGCATCAATTAAAAAATTATTTTTTAGACAATTATTTGCAAAATTTTTCCAGGCTTGGTAAGAGAAGGACACATAGAAATCAGTACAATTAGGTCCCTGTCATGGAGGAGCTTATTATTGTAGGAGCATGGTTTAGGTACCCAGATGTCATTCATAATGAGCCAGCTGCCTGGTGGCCCCTTTTAGCAAGAAAAGTGTGGTGTTTAAGGAAACATCAATCTGATGCTCAAAACCACAGAAAACAATCAAAATCTCTGTGGTGCCTCTTGTAAGAACATCCAAGAGGGAATCGTTTTTGGGAATACACAGAAAAACTCCTTAAGTCTTATTTTCCCCGCTATCTTGCTCTTAATCTCTCTCTGATATCCACAGCTAGTCTTCAACATCTGTCACATTTGGCTCAAACTCTGAAAACTTTCCCTCCGACTCAGTCTGTGTGGAGTGTTTTATCTCCTCCTTCCTGCTCTGGCTCAGGTCTTTATTATACAGTTCAGCTTAGTCTCTCTGACTTCTTCCAGTTATTTTATCTCCCACATTATCTGAATTCTACACCATACAAAAAAAAGTAAGGTTGTGGAATTCTTCCCTCAATGATGATGCCAATTATTCTAATTTATTGTTTATTTATATCTCATTCATATTGGAGTGTGTGTGTGGAGAGAGAGAGAGAGAGAGAGAGAGAGAGAGAGAGAGAGAGAGAGAGAGAGAGAGAGAGAGAGAGAGAGAGAGAGAGAGAGAGAGAGAGAGAGAGAGAGAGAGAGAGAGAGAGAGAGAGAGAGAGGGAGAAAGGAGCGAGGGAAAGTCGGAAGGAGGTAGGGATAGGGGTTTAAGTTAAACTTTGTACTTGCTTAAATAGTTCAGACAGCATTTTATAGCTCCTATAAAAAGGCCATTTTTCATTGGGTCCCAAAATACCTTGTGCCCTTACCAAAATGTTTCAGCAGTTATTTGTATGTTTCTTCTTCTCTTTTGAATTTATATTCTTGGCTCAAGGGTCTTATTTATAATTTTATCTTCAATATCTTTAGTGAGTGAAACATAGTGCCTTTTCTTTCAATACTTGCCCATGAAACTTCTAGTTGGAGACTTGTGAAGTGCACTCATTCCTGACAGAGTGAAGTCATGGGACTGAATCTCATATTCGAGGGACAGTGAACCACCTGTTGTGGCATGAGGACAGGGTGAATGTGGTGGGAGATGGGACTGGGAGATGGTGGAACTATGTGCTTCCTCCTCTGACTTCCCACAGTGCTGGCAATCTGTCTCTCCTACCCCTCCCACCAGACCATGACGTCTCTCTGTCTTGTTCAGTTCCTATTACCACTCCACGGCACTTAGGATGCATTTAGGAGAGGTTGAACGAGGAAGTGGTGAATGGACATTGCTCTGCAGGAAAGGGTCCTGGAAAATCAGAGCAGGGTGTGTGCTGTAGTCAGAGAAGATGGGGCAGCTGCTGGAAGGGCATCTCATGATCCATACTATATTTACTAAACTAATCCTGCTGGCATGTGAAGAGGGATGGGGGAAGCAAGAGTTCAGAGGATGGAAAACAATTTAGGAAGCTTTCTCCATATTGTAGGTGAAAGATGATGAGCATTTCAACTAAGTCAAAGAAATGTAATACTAGTTTGTGGTGATGAATTCTTAGCTTTTTCTTGTCTGGGAAACGCTATCTGATCTTTAATTCTAAATGATAGTTTTGTTGCTTTTTTATTTTCAGGTTTTAACCAGCAGTGGTCAGTTGTAATGTACGAATTCATGTACTTTTATTCTTTTTATAATTCCTAATTGCTACTACATGTACATATTAATATTGTCATTAGAGCAAATTGTTGCTTCCTTCAGGGATGGATACTGGCAATACTGTGAGGCAGGCATTAGTTTTTCTCTGATAATGTTATAGTTATGACTCTTTTCATTGTCAGTAAATAAATTCTTTCACAAGCTCCAGAGAAATAGACTTGCTGGGGAGGAAAGATTTGGCAGCATCCGGTAAGTAAGCTCGTGCACTGCGAAGGACTGGAAACAGTGTACAGTGGACCTTAAGAAAGTGGACTGGATTGTCAGGAGCCATCACTGTGCTCAGTGCCATAATGGGAAGGGGATAAATTCTCACTCATCTCTGATTCTTCCTCTTATTTATCTAACATCTGGCTGATGGCTGCCTTCTCTCTCCTTCCTGCTCTGGCTCAGGTCTTTATTATATAGTTCAGCTTAGTTGAACTCCTCAGCTCACATAGCCAGTACTGCTTACAGCTCTCTTCTGTTGTCCTTCCTTATGGGGAGGATCTGACCGATTCAGCCCTGCCTGTGGGTAGACCCCTCATCAGTCAGATGTATTCACATATACAGTAAGGTGTGTGGTTGGGCCGTCAACAATAGAGAACATATGATTTTGACCTTTGCTTCCTATTCATTTGCTCTTTCCATTTCTTTCCCAATTCCCAACCATTCTTCCCTGCTTAAATCCATGTCTGGACTCTCTTCCAGGACTCTCTGTTGAAAAGAAAAGTGATTTTTCAAAATCTTATTTTCATGTGGATTATTTTACTTGTCATTATTCTGTAACATGAATTTTAACAGTAAATGTGCATGCGAAGAATCCTAAAAATATATTATTTTTAATTAAATCTTACCATTTGCGGCCATCCTGTAGTTTTCAAATACCTCTAAGTCTCAACCTGAAAACTGAACTTAGGTGATAAGTCAAGAAAATACAAATGAAATAAAAAGTTTATAATTAAAATGTCTAATATTTACCAATAATATCAACCTTACTATATTGTTTTCTTATTTATAGAAAATGATTATTGAATGTTGCTCAGAAATAATAAGTCTGTTTATGACTGATAGAGAGACACAACCACTATCTAAGGTATGTATCTCTTTTAAAGCTATATTTGACTCACTCATAAGTATCACTGTTGCTATGGAAATGGAAATTCAGAAAACAGCTATTATAAAAGTATCAAGGGTCTAATCCTTCTTAATCAATGTGAGTGATAAACATGAATTTATTAGAGCATGTTATTTTGTTTAAAAATATTCTTTAAAAATCAGCTAATACAGAAAATTATGAAGAGAATAATGTTAGTCATTTCAGATCTACCATTCAGAGAATAACCACTAGTAACATTTTGAAGAATTATCTCAAATGTTTTCCACATATCTGTAAACTTTAGAATTTTTGCATCAATAGGAAGACCTCTCATAGGATATGACATTTGAAGTAAGACCTGAAATATTGCATGATGTTTTCCCCACTATTCCATTAGTTTCTTGGGCGATAGGGACAATGCTAACTTAATCTTTAAATTCTTAGTTCCATATATAGTATATTAATTAGTTCCTGCTTTCTTCAATTGAATGGAATTCTATTTAGTGTCAAACACCTGAAATTTTATATTTGCTTTTTTTTATATTTATTTGGCCATACATATTCTTTTCCATTTTTTAAATGGGGAATTTAATTTTCTAATATATAAATACATAGATTTACTGTAGCAAGTCATCGGTAATAAAATAAAACTTAAACATAATTTTGATCAAACTGTGGTTAAAAGCAGGTCGCAGAAAAAGGACGCATGATTTTGTATGGGTCTTGGCTTTTGACAGACTAGACTTGAAATCCCAGCCTTAAATCTCATTTGTCATATGACCCTAGGCAAGTTTTCTCAAATTGAAAATATAGTAATAATGCCAATATTTCACAGTTGTGATCAGTAAAGCAAATGATATATGTTAAATATTTGGCAGAGAGCCTAGGCCAAACAAATGTTTAGTCAATATTAGCTATTTCATTGAAGTCATCATCATCATCATCATCATCATCATCATCCCTACCATGGTCCCGCCTTCCATGTATGAGTGTGTGAATTCTTCATCCCCTAGTTATTTAATTTTAACAGACTTTTAGGATCCAAATTTGTTTTGAAACATTGATCGACCAAGAGAAGAAAAGTGTTAAAGGTAGAGATAGAACTAGAACCCATTTTCTTTGCCTGTAAAGTAAATCACTGTTGAATCCTAGAGGAATTAAGCCAGTGTGCAGGAGCCCAACACAAGACCCCAGTGGTGAAAGAGTCACCTGGTCCAAGAGAAGGTGGCTCCCAGGTGAAGCCCATGCTAATGCTTCCACTGAAGCCAGATGTACCGAGTAGTGCTGGCCTGGGCGTAGGCGTTAGGAGCTTGTTCCAAGAAACAAATTGTTAGACAAAATTACATGCCTTAGTGAAGCTGTTTTTATCACCGGGATGAGATCTTGCTGTGCAATTTGGTTCTGTACTGAACATACCTATTGCAATCACCTTTGCCTGTTATTGCCTCTTTCTAATTAAAATGGATATTGCACACACAGCTTGTGACAAAAAGGAACTGAGAATAGCAAGGAGATGAAGGAAGGGAATGAGTGCTCCACGTTAACCTTCTCAGTGATTACTCACAGAATATAAATGACCGTGAGGTGCAATTTCTCGTCAACTAATAATAAAACTTTCTTTTAATTGCCTGCATAGGTTCAAGTTATTGCAGTTTCCAAGTTGCTAGGTAGGATTCAAACATGATGCTAAAAATAGTCTTTCTGTTCTTGTTGTGATTGATCATGGGAAGAACAGGCCGCCATCAGTAATTATCCACCTCCAGCTGAATGCAGAACATTGGTGTAGATACTTTTCTTGTTGAGAAGGCAGCATACAGGTTAAGGTTCCTGTACTCAGCTAATTTTATATTTCACGTTGATTCACATTATATAATACAAATAAATTTACCTAATCAGTGTATCAGTGGTGTGTGTGTGTGTGTGTGTGTGTGTGTGTGTGTGTGTGAACTGAACTGACTAGAGTCACACAGAATAAGTTTGGAGAGGAGATTCCAAGAAGAGATCTGGTTTAAGGTAGGAAGATTGATCTAGGCCAAGTGATAAGATACATTGTGTAAGGAGATTACCAAAGAGCTTTTCTTGGCTGCATAAGTTCAGTAGGATATTTTTTGTAGTTCAGGATTTTTAGCTAGACCCAGAATAAAATCTGACAATAATGATACTAATCACTAAAATGATTACTACTAATAGTGGTAGTAGTAATAATATTCATTATTAATATTTGTTGAGCAGAGGGCACATGAAACATTGTACAGTGTTTTATCTCACCAGGAACCCAGTGCATGAATTTGTGCACCAGTGGGGTCCCTCAGCCTGGCCTGCAGATTGGACCAAAAATGGCTCTCTGACATCCACTGAGGGGTCCCGGATTACGAGAGGGCACAGAGACCCTCCTGGTACAGGATTGGGGCCTGGGTGGGACACAGGAGGTTAGCCAGCCAGGGAGAGATCATGGAAGGGCTCCAGGGCATGTCCAGCCCATCTCACTCAGTCCAGATTGGCTGGACCCCGGCAGCAAGCTAATCTACAGATTGGAGTGTCTGCCCCCTGATGGTCAGAGCATGTCATAACAACTAGTTGACTGGTTGACTGCCCCCTAGTGGTCAGTGCACATCATAGTGAGTGGTTGAGCGCCTTAGCATATCATTAGCATATTATGTTTTGATTGGTTGAATGACCTACTGGTTGACTGGACACTTAACATATTAGGCTTTTATTATATAGGATTTAATATAAGAATCCTATTAAATTGATTACTACTATTATCCTAACTGATGCACAGGGAATTAAGCAGCGTGCTCAAGGTCTCCCAGCTTCTAAGTGGAGGAGGCAGAAGTCAAATACAGTTCTGCTTAAAAATCCAGGATTTGTGTCTTTAATTAAATTATACCCACTAAATATTCTATTGGAATAGTGGGAGCAGGTGTTACAGGAAGTTGAGAAGTAAGAGGAGCAAAAGTAAGAGTGGGAAAGTGAAAGTTGCAAGTGTAGATGAATCTTTAAGGTGGTCTGGGTAAGAAGTTTGGAGAGAGACACAGAGACTAGGGAGGAAATTAGGACAGGAGTGTTGGGAAGGGAAAAAGGGCCAGGAGGGTGGGGGTTGCCTGTCTAGAAGAAAGAAGGACAAATGATGATGGAACACAGCCTTTTGGGAGCGGGGTGGGGGCAGAAAGACATTGATAACACAAGTGAGATCGCTGCCTGGAAGCAGAGGAAAGATACTTCTTTTCTCTAGGTCCTGGGGTAGCAGATTGAGGTGGGAAAGGGTGAGAGAAGCTGGGGCAGTTTATACTCAGTGGTTCTCGTTTCTCAATGAAGTGGAGGCAAGTTTTTCTACCTCTGGAGTATGTTAGAGGATTGAGAGTATGGTCTGAGAGAGAGAGCGGTAGATGAAGATTTTGGACAGTCACAGTCTTTGAGTGTGATGGGCAGGAAAGTTGACCAAGGAGAAATAAAATGACATTGAGCCACCTGGAGATTTAAGAGTCATTGGTTTGTTGGGACTCCAGGCTGTTTGGCTTGTGATGTTTCTCTAGCAACACTTGGCTTCCTGGACATAGGAGCGAGGCAGATGTGAGAGTAGAAGAGGCCAATGGAGGTGAGAGTGCAGTGAGACTACTAACAGTATGTGGGAGGCTCATGTGGATGAGAGCAGCTCCACGCTTTTCTTAGTCAACTCAAAACTTCTTCTATTTGCTCTGAAATAACACCACTGCAGCCCGATGCCTGCCATTTTCCCCCAAGCTCTAGATGAACATAAGTTTATACAATATGTTTTCTTAAAAATATTTTTAATTTAATCTAAAAAAAACCTCTATAATAACAGTTAAATTCTAATAACTTTCACTGCATTTTTTATGTACATTATTCATGTGGATTTCTTTTCACAGGGCAAATTTATGTTCTCATGCTCTCTCATTTTTTACTAGAGGCCTGGCACATGAAATTTGTGCATGGGTACGGTCCCTAGGTCTGGCCTGTGATCAGGGCTATCTTCCCAGGCTGCCTGCCTCTGGCCCTGCCTTCTGCTGCCACTGACCCCAGGTTCATGTTCACAATCTGGCAATCAAAGCCTGATAGCCAGGGAAAGAGACCAAGAGGTCAGCTTTTCCTGCCTGCTCCTTGCCATGGGTCTCCCTCTGTGTGGGGGGCAACTGACAGGATGGGGGCCTTGGTCTGGCAATGCCTGCATCCCCCAACCTCCACCCCCAGTTCCCCATTCGCCATCAGGAGATCGGAGCCTGACAGCCAGGGGGAGGGACTGAGAGGTGGTCAGTGTGCCTCATAGTGACTGGTCAAGTGAGATCTTTCTGGTAGTTCTGCTCTTAGGGTCAATTTGTGTATTGCCCTTTTATTATATAGGATTCTTAAAATGGTAATTTTTGTACCTGTTTATGATCAGATACTGACATCAACCACATGCTGGTCACTAAAATAATTATTATCTTTAAGACGTTTTCAGTAAGAACTTTAGAGAAGGTTAAAGAACAGCTAGAAGGAGACACAGAGTCACAAATATGTTTACATATCTTCATTTGTTTAGTCATTCACATCTTTAATTTTATGTCTGACGTATTGATTCTATCATATGACGAATTATGCTCTATAGACCCTTATGTTCTTATTAGAGGCCCAGCGCACAATTCGATTCGTGCACTGGTGGAGTCCAACTGGTCTGCTCCAATGGGGATGAGGGTGCCCGCTCCTGGCCAGGGCTGGCTAGGGCGAGGGGCCACAGGGGTTCTGGTTGTTCCACCATTAGGTCGATTGGCATATTACCCTTTTATTATCTAGGATGACCCCTGCCTATCAGCTGAAATTATTGCTTCATAATGCTAGTATCTTATATTTTACTAGATTATCATGCAAAAATTGGTAATAACACATTAAACCTATATTGCTCTAACTCAGAGTCCTTCTTTCATCACTTTCTTTCAAGCCCATGGTTTATGTCTCTGTCCTTAATTTTTTAACCAAAATATGTTATAATGAAGTGC